AATATTATTCTGTTATTTTATTCACATAGAAAGGCATCTTAGTTATAATCTAAACTAGATTATAATTAAGAGTTCATAATTCTCAAACTAATTAAGCACCAGCTTACATGACGTTATTGAATGTATCTCGTTACTTTCCCCTTTCACGAGTTCATCCAATGTGAAACACTGGGGGGACTTACAGGGGGTTTCTTCTCCTGCTTCCAAGATGGCACAGTTGCCTCTGTCATAAAATATTGGATAGTAATGTTTGGTATATCAGTTTTCGTCATAAAATAAATGATAGATTTAATGTTAATCCATGGTATTTAACTTGCTGCGCTCTTTAATATTATCAACATCTTTTTGATTTCCTCTACGTTGGTCTCTAATTTAAATATCCTTTCTTGATTTTCTTCCGGTGTAGGCTTCCGACCTATTCCAAAACCAGTGTCGCATATTTCTATCGAGCCTGCCTGTAATTGGTTTTCTGGTTTAAATATTTCGTCGGGACTTTGGTTTCTTCCATTACCTCCAAGTTTGAAATTTCTTCTATCTTCAACGGTATTAGTTGTGATTTTACCTTCTTCTTTTGCTGTTTTACCTTCTTTATGATAAAATTGCCGTTTGTCCTGCACGGAATACAATGAATACCTTTCTTATCCACATGAACACCTTTTGCTTTCTCATCACTCTTAGGTTCTGATGTATCGCTTAAAGTATTCAATTAACACCTTACATCGTTCTAACACATTATAGCAACAACGTCTATATCTCGGTGTTATAATTAGCGCCTGTTCTATTTCTTCAACCTTATTGATTACTTGAATATACTTTATACCCTCCATGTTATGTTAACTATGAATATAATCTATCTATTAATAATAATAGCAAATATCCCCATAGTTAAACCAGTAAATGTTAAAGAATACGACCCCAAACAGTCTAAATACGACGTAGCTCCGAGAGTACCTTTTAGTCAAATTATAACAGGCCCGTCAGGAAGCGGGAAAGGCATCTTATTACAATCAATGATATTAGACATTTATAGAGACGTCTTCGCTCGCGTGTATGTTTGGTCGCCTTCAATTTCCGTGGATGCTAATTGGACACCGGTAATAACATATATTCAAAATAACTTGAAGGTTGATTTAGAAAAGGTAGGCATTTGATGAGTATATACCGGAAGAATTAGAAGCAGTCATGAAAAGACAACATAAAGTCATTGAATATCAGAAAAAGAACAAACATAATAAATTACATTCAATCTTAACTATTGTTGATGACTTTGCCGATAGTAAGGCTTTTTCAAGAAACTTGCCTTTGCTAAATCAGATGTATGTGCGCGGAAGACACAATGCTATTAATATCATTACCTTTACACAAAAATTTAATGCATTGTCTCCTATGATTCGTGTTAATAGTCGTCGATTATTCTTCTTCAGGTTAAGAAACTATAAAGAGATAGAGACAATGGTGGAAGAATTGAGCGCGGTACTATTGATTAAAAAATCAACCGTGGCAGACGCTAAAAACCTTGCTGAAGCAAAAAACTTATTGTTAGAAGTGTATAACATAGCTACGGAAGAACCTTATAGCTTCTTGTATATAAATTTAATGAAGCCCGATGTTAATGATATGTTTTATAAAAGATTTGATGCTAAATTGATTATTGGTTAAGAATATTTTTAATAATATTACTAAATCAATGAATAATTGCATAAATTTATCGGTAGTTTATATAACATTTTATCACTTTTTTTATCTTTTGCTTCTTTTAACTCTTTTGTAATTTGCTTTATCGCTCTAATCTGCAGTTTATCAATATTACTCAGGTCTAATTCATTTTCATTATTGTTGTTAATTTCTTTAATGCAATCATTTCCATTATCATCATCTGAAATCCTACTACCCAGATATTTTTATTTAGATTATTTTCCTTTTCCTTCTCCTTTACCTTTACCCGTTAACATTTTAACCTCTTTCTTTAACTCATCAATTTCATTTAAAGCATATTGTAAAGCAGACCAAAGCAGGGGCGTTGTTTCTGTATAATCCATTCTTAAGTAACCATCCTTACCATCAAAACGATATTTCCCCATTCATCGGGCATTTTATCAGTCTGAGAATCATTTGCAATAAATCCTATGCGCTTTCGTTTTGCATCCTTTTTAATCTATGTTTCAGGTTTAATATATTCAACTAACTTTACTGCTTTATTTTGGTCAATTTCTCTGATATTATTTTCTTTTATCTGATGTATCGGTTAAAACTCCACTGTACTTAACATCACCAATAATATTAATACCTGATGAATCAATTGTAAAAATGTCTGTGCTTTGTATTTGCACATAAGTTTCCCCGTCAAAATCATTATTTCTCATATATATATTCGTTCAGCATTACCTCCTGTTGTTGTATTAGTAAGCTGAAACTTAGTTCCATACAAATATATTATATCACTAGCAACTCTAAACTCTGGTGTTCCCGATAAATTAAAATCAACTTCAAACTCGTGCTCTACCGTCAGTTTCCCGATTACATTAACTGTCTCATTACAAACTGTGGCGTTATTTCATGTTACTCCTGATGAATTCTCTAATTGGATTTGTATTTCGCTTGGTTGTGGGTCAGCATTTCTATTACCTTGTATAATGAAAAGTTCATTTTATTTATTGGTGTAGAATTAGTTGGGTTTCCTGTTGTGGATTGTTGATATATGCGACCACTGCCTTTAATTAAAACATTATTGTTAAATGTTGCTGATGCTTGAAAACTTGACGTTCCTCCGAAATTGGCATTACCACCGGATACACTGAATTTATTTGCACCATTTATAACACCAATACCTAAACCTTCCATATAACAAGAGTTATGAGTATTAAATAACAATAATGATGAAGTGTCGTTGTTTGTATTAAAAGCACGGATATTAAAAGAAATGAATTGAATGTATCCCTGAGAGTCTTTTAATTCTTACTACATTACTAGCGTCAGTAGTTGATTTGAAAAATGTTAGTTCATCGATATTGAATAGTGTTGCTTGTTCGCCATCAACATTAATGTTTGATTTTAACCATAATGGTTTATGTATCATTGCTACACCCGTTGTTTTGTTACATTCAACATAAGTATTCGTATCTCCATCACTTGCTCCACCTACAACTAACCTTATTGCTTCTTGGTCTGTCCTTAAAACTAACGATGTTTTTGATTTGGTGGTATTAACATATCTTTCAATATTAGTATTAGCGTCAACTAATCCAATTGGATTAGAAATATTATTTGTAAGCCTGCTATTCATCCATCAACCTCACCTTTATTACAATAATTTGTAGCCAGTTGCGTATTAGTCTAAGGCGCTAATGCTGTATTATCAATCCAGTTCTTAGCATCAATTTCCCCTTTATTATAAATATTTGTCGCAAGTTGCGTATTAGTTTGATAATTATTAGTTAAATTAGTTCTAATAGCACTTATTGCATTAAAATTATCTAATGCTTGACCATGTACAACAGCAATAGCACTATCTACCTGCGCTATGTTATAAACATTTGAATTCGCGCTGTTGTCTGAAAGTCGTTAGTTAAGTTCTTATTTCTATCGGTAATTGCTAAATCTTGTCCTGTATTTTGTGCTATTATTGGCGGAAACCTCCGAAAACCCAAAACAAATATCAGAAATTAACAAAGACTTGGACACAATGAAGAATAACGTTTTGAATGCCTTACATGAAATACCATACATTGAAAACAATTGCACGACGATGGTTTATACAAAAGATGGCAAAATGTTTGTTGACATCATTGATGGTAGAACAGTAGACATTATGAAACCAGAAAGGGCGAGAGAAGAACAAAAGGGCTTAGCAAAGCTTTATGCGATAATGAACGGAGAAACAAACAATAGCATTTTACTAATTAGTTGTAGTAAAGTTCTATAGCTAAGGAAGGTTATTATGTTGCTTTGAATTGTTTGTGAGGTGTGGGGTATGGGGAGAAGCTTTAAATTATCGTGAGGTGTGAGGTATGGGAAGTAGCTCTAAGTTTGATGGTTGGGATTGTTGGGAAGATTGTGGTGTGGGTGCTTGTAGGATGCTTGTAGAGAGTTGATAGTTTTGTGGAGGTAGTTTTTGGTATGCTTGTTGAGCATTGTGTTAAAAGTATAGGGGAGGGTGCATGCAACGAGGTCTGGGGGTGGCTACTGCTTGCTCCCCAGCTGGTCCCCTGCGGTCTCCTGGTGGTCTCCTCGACATTGGTTTTCTGAAGGTCCCCTGGTCATCTGCTGGTTGTCGTGGTCTTTGTAGTGGTCGTTGAGGTCGTGATTATCATGGTCGTCTCTACTGGGACCGGGATCTACGATGATCTACGGGATACTGGTTCAAACACTTGATCCCTATAATGTTGTTGCACAGATCACTTATTCACGCATACACTCCAAACGTATAGTCGAACTACGACATGCACATTCAACGGCCAATCCGAAATACGGTACGTCAACCACGTTTTCGAACATACGTTGCATAGAGCTGCCACGATCGGAAAAATTTTGCAAATACTGGGAACGAGGCATAATGAAACGTGTCCCAACGTAGACTTGGGTCCCGAAGAATGGCGTGCAGTTCCCGCTGGCCTCGCCTCCCCCCTTCAGGTGGTCAAATCCAGTATATCCGGGCAGAGTCCCTACAGTCTGTGTGAACTGGGCATCCAGCTGCACTGGATCGCCGTGACTTTAGTAAACCCATCAATGACTGCAAGTGTATGGGGTCGAGCTTGGGATCAGGCACGGTACTTGGTCTGGTGAACCGTTGCAGGTACATTTCAGGGGCTTTTAGGAGCGCAACAGTACCGCACGGCGGCAGCAATCTCACGTCTCCCACGTCGTAGTTAAGCATTGATATGGGTGTCTCGCCTTGGCTTCGGCTTCCTTTGCCTCGCGTCGTTTCCGTCGCTTCTCCTGTGAGCATTGCTTGACAAGCCGGACCTATGCATGGAGGATGAGTCTAAGAATGAGCTCTCCGCTTTCTTGGTTTCCACCACCTTCTCTGTCTCCTGGTCCTGTCGGGACTCAGAGACCTCTCGTTTCGAGTCCGTCGATGCCGTGTCCGAGCAAAGCCTTGGCATCCGAAGGTTCGATCGCCTCGGCCGCTTTTTCGGCCTCAGTGTCGCGCTCGCTACTGCGGAAACTCCAGCAATTTTCCGTGGCCTCGTCGGGATCTTCCTCCCAGATGGCAATCGTAAGATACAGTGCAGTAAACCCAACATCTGGCTTCTCCTCCATGTCTTCTTTCGCCTCATCGTCTGCTTCCTGCTCTCCAACTTCACCTGGGCAGCACACTTCAGAAGATGAGGGTCACCTCGACATTCAGGAGACGTAAGCGACGCACCGTCGACTTCCTCCAAAGGCCTCTTGGCCTTTACTACGCAAGATAACAATGTTGGATGGCTGAAGTAGAATAAACGGTCCCCTTCACAGCTCGCAGGCCTTGCGAGATCGACGGAAGTCGGGCAACACCTGGGCGAAGCAATGCTGCTGAAGCCTACCCTGTGCTACGACTCTGTAATAGCACAAGGCTGTGGCTCCACTCGCGTGTGCCCGCTCCTCGCACGATTTGCTCATATGCAAGCGCAGAACAGACACTCTCCGGCCTGAGAAGCGTCGTGGAAAGGTCCGAGGTCACGGTAGTAGCCGAGCCTCGGAAGTCAGATCCCCAAAGCTGCAACGCCTCCCACGCTGCAGGGCAGCGGGGCGCACCCACGCCGGCCGCGTTTGAAGACGAAGCCAGGCCGGGCTCCCAGGAACTTCGTTGAGGCCTCGAAGTCCTGCCAAAGAGCAAACCGAAGCAGAGCGAAGCGGAGCAAAGCGGAGTGAAGCGGAGGGCAAAGAGCAAAGAGCAAGCGCAAACAAACGCGATACTGCTTTTCATGCAACGTCTTTGGCTTATCTGCCGCGTCGCTCTCCTTGGACCACTCGGGCATCGCCTGCCCGGAAGGCTCCGAAGTGTTCAGCTTCTGGCGGTCTTCGCCATGAAGCCTGCCAGCACCGCGCAAACATCCACTGATCAACCAAACCGATGCAGCACCTTCGCATCTCCGCCATGAAGGCTGAATGAAACTCATCGTCCGAGTCCTCTTGAAAACAACGTAGCATCATGTAGCGTCTGCACGCTTCCGCCGGATAGAGGATTCCTGCTCTCCGCCATTCTCAGCTTCCTGGTCTAGGGAATGCAGAAAAACCGTCATCTTCCAAAGAAGCCGTGTGCTTTTGCAGCGGCCTGAGAAGGTACCGAGGGAGCAAGCTTCTGACTGTCTTCGTCCTGAAGCCTCGGGACACTGTTAACATGTTAGCATCAACAATGCACGGCCTCAACAGCATCGGTTGCATCGAAGGAACTTTCTCGTTTCCGTCGAGGGGGAAGGAGCCTTGTGTTCGGTCGAGACTAGCCACTGTGCTCTTCGAACATGAACTCGAAAAGTTCACTTGCGAGTTGTCGCCTTGTCTTCGGCAGTCGCCTCAAAGCAGGCACAGCTTGCACGTCGCGGAGCATGTGCATTGAGGCCTTGCCTGTGAGGGCTCCGTGGCAACCAGCTCCTCATTGACCTCGCCGTCAAGCCTTGCTACATCGTATAAAGCAGGCATCTCTTGTACAGGAGATAGCTGACAGGATTGCATCTCAGCAACTTTTTCATCTGTGCCACGCAGACAGCCTGAGATTCGTCCTTGGAGTCCTGCCGAAAATGACCGAGTGCGAGGAGATCTTGCGATGAGAACCCACCCAACATCCCCTTGCAATCTTACCAAACGAATCCTGCATGAGCACGGGCGGCGTGAGACTGCCACCGCCAATATCATGATGAGGGCCCGGTTTAGTCAAGGTCACTGGGGGCATCAACTCGTGGCTGTCGACTGTGCTGTATTTGCCCAGAGTCCGTGCTGTACTTGGCGCACCATGACTGTTGGGTGTGGTTATCAAGATCGGTTCCTGTCTGATTGAAGAACAAGCAATACAGATTCTCTGCTGCTTGCTCAAATTGAATCGATCTTCACGTCGACGTGCCTGCAGTCCTATTGGCATCTCATGTGCTGAGCAAAGCTGTCGGCCGCAATGCTCTGGACAGGCAGGACTCCTTGCCCCGGATTTCTCTCTCTCACTCTAACCACAGCTCTCAAGATCTACACAAGCTGTTCCACCCCAAAATCCTGCAATTCATCACACCCATGGGACTCATCCTTGACTTCTTGCAACGAGACTTTAAGTGTTAAGCTCCGAGCCAGAGATCTGACTGCTTTGGTCAGATCATCTCTCTCCGAAGGAGCGTGTGCTGGCTGTGTCTTCTTCGAGCCGTTTCATTCGATGGCGCTCGATGACACGCTGCATGCCGTCCAGGCCACGTTGCACCTCCTGATGTTCTGTGCTCGGACACTCGCTGGGACAGCGCGAAGACGAGCCTTGAAACTTGGCCCATATGACAGCCGGATGAAGGAGTCGTAGCTGTTGAACTTCCTGGCATGGAGGTTGACGCCGCAAACAGAAAATGGCCATGGCAGGGAGCCAGGGATCCTCCGGCTCCCTGGGTTTACGTCGAAGAAGACGCCGGGAGTGACAATGACCTCCCGCATCCCCCGCATTCCTCTCGTCATCTCTTCACTGTCCTGCATTGTGCTGAAGCATGCCTTCTCTCGCAGCAGCTCACGGAAGAAGCCCCAGCCTGAAGCACGGGATGCTGCGTGGCCGCATGGCTCTGCGCTCAGAGTCTCGGGCCCGTGCAACTGTTCAACGGAGCTGGAAGCTTGGAGATATCGCACCAGCAATAGAAGGTGCCCTCACAAGACAGAGACGACTGCTGCACGATTTGGGTGGCATGACACACTGGCCTGTGGCGGATGCTCCACGACGATACCCATATCCTGACACAAGAAACAATCACACAAAGCTCGGGTTTCTGTCTAGCAGACAAGCTCCTGCAATCTTCGGAGAAGAAAGTCTCGCTTGTGACTGAAAAGTACCTGCCAGGAACTGTGAACACGAATGAGAAGGGATTCATAACCCGGCCTGAAGCATGATGGTTTGCTCAATTACATCCTGTGCATTCGGCACATCTTCTTCGCACAAACTCGGATGCGGTCGCGGGCAAAGACAGGCTACCAGATGCTGTTGCAGCGCGTCCTTCGGGTTGACCAAGGGGACGCAGGACCTCTGTGTGGGAAGCGAGGGGCCTCCGTCCTGGCCATATTCTAGATTCTAGAGCTTGCTTGTGCATGTCGCCAATTCTGCAGGACTTTTGCAGGGCTCCAGGAATGATCCAGCTGCGCCAACAGAGTCGATCAGGGACTTTGGGCCCACGATCCAACACACCCGCAAACCTGGCATCCTCCAGCACCTCATACCACTGGTCCAAAGGGTCTAAAGTTGCCATACTGTGAGGATCGGTAACGAACAGCCCGGTCGCTTGGTCAAGCCATCGAGAATGATTATCGGATCTCTGTCCACATCCTCCACAAACTGAGCTGCTGAAACCTGCAGTCGACAAGAAACAGGTTGCTGCAACAACTCCCGTTCCAGCTCCGCTTCTGCTGCAACGGAAATTCGAAGCCGCATGAGTTGTACAGCGGTATGCACTAAACTGAGCAAGTCACAGTGCGCCATGTCGCATCCGTTGGCGACATTCGCTGTGTGTAGATGTAGCGAGAATAGATCTCATCCAACACTATAGAGCATTGAGTCTCTCTGGCGATCCGAACCCAATTCTTCAGCCTCGGTCGAAAAATGCTCAGCAACACCCAGGAATGCACATTGCAGGCATGCTGGACCGCGGACCGTTCAACGCTCGTTCAACACTCACAGCAAGCCAGAACCTGCCTGTGCAACGTCGAAGGCCTAACTATACATCTGAAGTGCATGTGTGCCGCACGTCTACCGACACAACCAGGGGCTCTGTGCAAGCCAGGAACTCTTCGCCCTCCACCAGCTGACCAGTTGGATTGCATGGATTTGACAACAAAAGAACTGAAAGGCCACGACCCACAATCTCGCGTCGGAGCTCCTTCCACTTCGCTTCTAAATGAAAATCCGAAAAGTGCGGTGTCGCTTAGACACCACACGACTCGACCCGTTTGCAACAGCTCTGAGACAAGACCTGCTAATGAGCATCTCACTGAAAGCCCCCCACACAAGACTTGCTCCACAGAACAAGCCGACCCTACGCAATTTCGGTGATGCCTGAACATGAAACTTGTCTGGCTCCGAAAGGCTTGCTCTGGATTCATTGTACCTGCGACTGAACTTTAAGATGCTTTCAATGTTCAACCACAGACAAGGAAAATCCATCAGTCGTTCTACATGCATCCAGAGTTCAGTCCCAAATCTCTTGATGCCTACTTCTGATTCTTGGTCCTGCTGACCTGCTGGCTTCTGGCCCCCTATTTTGCTTTTACTCACCATCTCTTCTCCTACAACTGCTTTCTGAGCTCTTCGTCTCAAGAACAGAAAGAAATAGGAAAGCAAACGCAAAAAATAGTAAAGAATAAGTTGAAGGCTGGGCAAACAATTTGCAAGAATGAAACAAAACAGGAAGCAATGTAAATCAAAGGTACGAGAACTGTTAGAAAGATAAATAATCCGAGAAACTGGGAAACTAAGGGGCAATGATAGAAATGCAAAGGCACTTATAGAACATCAAGATAACAGGCAAAGAACTAACACTAACACGAAAACAAGGGCACGCTAACAAGCCAAATGCAAGCAATAGAACATGATAGGAGGAAGCTGTTTAGGAAATGACCATCACATCGCAAGAGAATAAGAAGAAGCCAGGGAAACACAACCATAGAATGCCACAGAGAGGATAGAGAGAACGGGAATAAACAGAGGGAACAGTCACTAAGAACTAAGATGTTCAGGGACAATAAGAACTAGTTGCTGCAAAACTCAGGACTTAGTGGCGAACTATTCAGGAAATACTAGTGGCGGTAGTTTTCGTTTTTGCTTTTGCAGGGGAGCGGTACTTCGCTGTCGGGCGGTTTGTTTGCTGCTAAAGCAGGGGCATGTTTAGCTTTTGTCGTTGGGGCGACTGCGGGCAAGTCTCTTCGTTGTGTCTTCGTTGTTGGTGTTGGGAATGTTGCGGCACGGGGTGTGTCGTTTTTGCCGTTGGGGCGGCTACTGTACTATATCTTGTCATTAGGCCGTCGAGTGGTAAGCATGCGTCGACTCCTCGAGGCAACGCCACTCTCTCCGTGCTGCCTTCACCTACGTCGCACCCCACTCCGTTCTGAAAAAACCGCGATGTGGGTGGTTGGGTTAACAGTGGTTGCGTGGGGTCCACCCGCATCCCTGTTCCCCGAGCCCCTTCCCCCACCGCCCAACTTGTTTAGCCTATAGCAGGCTTCCCACCCCACTGTACCAACACGACCTTCAGTGTATGCATTTAGCCCGCTCAGGCCTCCGGCCACCGGCCTAAACCGAAAGGGTCCAGCGTCTTCTTGTCGATTTTGTGTGAAATACACTCTGAGCTTGTCGCGTCCTTACAACCCTCCCTCCCGATGAATCCCCAAGCCCATGCAAACTGCCCTTAGAGGGGATTGGGGTGGCATTGGCGTCAGCCCTCAAAAAGCTTCCTCTCAGGGTCCTGTAACGTGATCCGGAAGTTGTTCTTCGGATCCAAAGGAATAGGGATGGAGTTGATGGTTTTGAACCTGAGCAGGCTGCGCTCCAAACCTTTCTGCACTGGGAAGATGATCAGGTCAGCTCAGTTCACCCTCAAGATCTAAGCCCCTTTCTGGCTGAGGAGTTCGGCATAAGCTGTGTAGTCCTGCAACAGCACAGTCTCCACGGCGGCACATCATCATAATGTGCAGAAACAACAGCAAGTACTTGGCCGATGCACAGCCAAGACTCCTCGTTTCGGATCCAAAAGTCCGAAACTAACTGAAGCCGAGAGATCGTTCTACACACCACCGTATGCATTTTCTGTGAGCACCGCTACCCCACGTGACTATGCTTGGGATATGGGACTGATGTGGAACGTGTCAGCCGAATGCTCATTTGAAGGTAGGAAGACAATTAACAAGTGAGACTCCAAACCTTTGCATGGGACTGCCTGCAAACACACATTTGGTAGGCTAGTCATGTTGCGAGGACATGCAGTGTCCGGGAGGAAATGGCCCAAATTGACGTTGTCCATTGCACCTTGGCAGCTTCACGGTAAGTCCCAGTCCAAGCTTAGTGACTTGCAACTCTGTGCTCACCACAATCGGCCCAATGTTGGATGAGTTGAGCTTAGGCTTGCGCAACACAACCGTGTCAGGGCGAGACGACCTCCACCAACTATAGCCACGTTCTCCGCAGAATACAGGGAGCTTTTGCCTTTGCGATAGATCTCATTGTAGAGTCGAGCCACTGCACGGCGCAAAGCCCAGTCGCCATTCACGCTTCCATAGTGCAGATTCTCCTCGTTCACTTCCAGGGCCTGAAGCTGGAACGGGCCGAGTTCTGATGACAGCTTCCCTTTCTCGACCAGCTCCGTCAAGCGCTTTCTGACATTCGTAGGCCAGTTCTTGGCCTTCGTGGTCTCCGGCGAACCTTGCCCCAAATTCGCCCATTCTTGTGCCGTCGAAGCAGAATATCCAGCTTTGCTGGCTTCATCCATCACAAAAATGACGCCTGTTTTGGGAACTCTGCGAAATCCGGTCAGAAAGTATTCATCTAGGGAAGCAAGGTTTCCCAGATCATCGGGCACAGGTGTTGACGCGACCTGGAGTTCCTGCTCGTCAGCGGCTGTTTCATTGCAGGGTGTATCCAGCTCGACTTGTGGTTTTGGTGGCAATGGATAGCGTCGTCGGACCTGCACCTTCCCGTCCACGTCACTAACCTCAAGCTCCACGATTCTCTGCAAACTTGATACAATCAACTCGAAATCGTTTGTGATTTGCTGTACCCGATTGAATCCAGCAATGATGTCAGCAGAAATATAGCCAGTTGCCTCAGCACCGAGCTGGTTCACCAACCACTCGTCCTTCCAGAGGTTCTTATCACTGAAGTAGTAGCGCAACTGCCTCTCCAGGCGCGGATCGGCCATGGCAAGGCACTCCTCACATTTAAACGATTGACGGTATGGCAAGACGGCTTGGATGCAAGCAGGAAGGTCGCTGCTAGATCATGTCAGACTCGAAACGGCACCGGAATGCAATGAATGCAACATTCCCGATGTGCAGAGACTCAATGAAACTCGCACTGAGAAGTGCTCACGGCTTGTCGGTTCCTGCCTCATTCAATAATAATCTCTTTTACTTGTGCTGCTGCGTGCTGCTGCGCCCTCTCGGCATCTAAGCTGCACTGAGCAATCGAGCATGCTGTCCAGGAGGAGCACTCTTGCAACGGCTGCAGGTAGCCCATGCCACAACTGCAACTAGAAGCAAGGTGCCTGTGATGATCAAGGCAACTCCCCAACCGGGAAAGCCATGAGACGGAGGCGTACCAGGAACCCTGCAAGAATTCGACCAGACTAGTGGAGGTGGGCACATCATGTCCGGCTTCTTGACGAGGCTGAATGCCACAGCAGGTGGCGAGCATTGATGTTCGGCAGTACATCCGTATTTGCTCAGCTCGTTTTGAAAGCTGCTTGCAAGCTGCTGCATATTGACACTGGCAAGCTGATGGGAGGTCCAGTTCAGAGACTCATCTGTGTTATCTTGACTTGCAGCTACGATACCGATGTCCACACCACCAGACCCAAACACATCGCCTTCGCTTCCAGACGATGTGAAATTGATCACGTCCACTGAGATGTTAGTTTCCTGCGATACAGCATGCCGAAATGCAGGAATGAAGGCGGAAGCCAACCAACCATCCGTTAAGGACAAGTCCTTGCCTTGTGCATGGTATGTCACCAATGCAACTCGATCCCTGATCTCGCAATCGCCTTGCAGCGCGAAGCCCCGTGGACAACCGGTGCAAGTGACTCTGCCTTTCGCAAGAGGACATGCCGTGCAGAACTTCGGCCCAGTCTTTTTCCCAACCGGAAAGCATGGGCGCGAAGGCTGTGGCGGCTTGGCAGACTGAGCACATTCTTTGTCTCCCATGGGACAGCCATCTGGGCAGTCGCAGATAAGTGATTGAACTTCGGTGCCATTGCCGCACCCGTCATCGCAATCACTCCAATTGCCAAACTCGTGTGGATTCCAAGGGCAGCTGCTTCCACGGCAATCGGACATGTTGGCTGGTCGAATGGACTCGTCGCACGGTCCGAATATGTCTTGGAAGGGACACCACACTTGTCGGTGCTTCGTGCCGTTTCCACACTTCGAATCACACTCGCCCCACTCATCATGCTGCCACACCCTGTTGCATTTTCCGACATAGACACAGCAAGAATCGCGGTCTGTGGCAAGGCTGCAATTGCCGTGACAATCAGAAGCGCAGACTGGCGGGGCATCCTGCAATGGCAGCGCAGGTTTTCCAATTCCGCGATGTGGCATGCGGCTTGACTTAAACTTTCGTGCTCCACGGAATGATTGCGACTGCAACATGCAGCAACTTGCGACAACAATCACAGCGACTCAAGCAGCCATGATATGAGACATTCAAACGAGTGAAGTCGGCATGCAACGGAAAGCGAGAATCCATCCCTCATCTGTCCAAGCTAACCATAAGCCAGGCGACGCAAAGCCGACCTAAGAAGTCCTTGGCAAGTCTTAGCAATAAAGTGCCGAAGAAACACCTGCAAACCAATGCGGCAACCCTGCCCCTGGAATTCGACAACTCGCAGACTATGCATCACAGTGCCCATCCCATTAGCCTTGTACTGCGGCATCTTCTTGTTGAGAAAAAGATCAACTCTGCATGGAACTTGTGCGGCTGGCCGAGGAGAAGGGGGGTTGGCCGTCCCGGGCACATAGCAGGCATCGCATACACCTGAGCCGTCACGATGACAGTATGAAACACCTGCATCAGGCACGGGCTTGTTGCACATTGGCCCATATTTGTCACAGGAAGGATTGTGCGCATAATACAGGTCGACGATGCTTCCGCCAAAAGCTTCTTTAATTGCCGATGCTCGGTCAGAGTTTCGACTTGCATTGCACCGTCCTGTCCAGAACGGAAGGCCGACCTCATTCTCTGCGTGACATGCAGAATCTTGGCAAGATGTCAAACAGCCTGGGAAGTCATACTCTTTGCAGTATTTTACTCCCAGGTGGGTGAATGACAAGTTCGTATTGCTGCAGTGCAGCCGGAAATCCTGCCAGTCTGCACACTGCCTCCCTCCACAGTCTTGCTCCTTGATGCCCACTATGCTGTCAAGCTTTTTGGCTGTGAAATTCTCAACGTAATACGAGCACCCAGGAGTACCATCAGGTATGTTTGATTTGAAGATCCGATTGCACAGGCCACCAGACACATATTGACTTTTCGAAGACGGGACCAAGCCTTTCTCGTACTTGGTGCAATTCGAGCTTGTCTTTTTGCCAGATGGCAAATTCGGACAAGGGCCACTCAAGCTGAACCAGTAGAAGGTAGAGTCGGTGGGGTACCGAACGTCCCCGTTCGGCGGATGGTAAGATTGAATCCCAACCAAATCGCCACCTAGCATACATGCTTGCACCAGCGTGCAACAACGATGACAGTGAAGGAAATGGCAGCACTGTCTATGATTATGGAGATGACGTGGACGAGAATAATGAAAGTCACATAAGCCTTGACACGAGAATGACTACCACTCGATGTCGGCTAACACTATGCCATGCTATTCTGAATGCTCGGGTTTAATGTGCTGATACTACCGATACTGCTGCTGCTGCTACTACTACTACTACTACTACTACTGCTGCTACCGCTACTGCTACTGCTACTGCTACTGCTACTGCTACTGCTACTGCTACTGCTACTGCTACTGCTACTGCTACTGCTAC